CCACCTCAAACCCCCCCAAAAACCCCAAAACCACCCCCAAATTCCCCTCAGACCCCCCAAAAAAACTCACCCCCCCCCAAAAAAACCCAAAACCACTCCAAAATCCTCCCAGGACACCCCAGAAACCCCAAAAACACCCTAAAAGCCCCAACCCCACCCCGAGACCTCCAAAAAACCCCCAAATCACCCCAAAATCCTCCCGGGACACCCCAAAAATATCAAAAAAACCCCAAACCACCCCAAAATCCTCCCGGGACACCCCAAAAATATCAAAAAACCCCCAAACCACCCCAAAATCCTCCCGGGACACCCCAAAAATATCCAAACCACCCCCAAAAAAACCAAAACCACCCCAAAATCCTCCCAGAAGACCCCAAAAAAACCTCAAAACACCCCCCAAAACGCCCCAAAATCCTCGCGGGACCCCCAAAAATTCATAAAACCACCCCAAAAAAAACCCCAAACCACCCCAACCCCCCAACTCGAGAACCCCAAAATCCCCAAAACCACCTCAAAATCCATCTTGTGACCCCCCAAAAAACCCCAAAACCACCCCAAAATCACCCCTTGTGACCCCCCCCCAACTCCCAAACTCCTCAGGACCTCCAAAAACCCCAAAATCGCCCCAAAATCTTCCCGGAAAACCCCAAAAAGTCCCCAAACCACCTGAAAAAAAACCCAAAAACATCCCCGGGACCCCCAAAAATCCCCAGGGCACCCCAAAATTCCCTGGTTCCCCCCCCAGGGACCCCAAAATCCCCCCCAGGATCTTCCCCCCGACCCTAAAAGTGATTTTGGGAGCCCCGAATGCTCCCAGGACCCCCCAAAAATCCCCAAATTTCCCCCAATTCCCCTCCCCCCCACCCCGTGCCCCTCCCCCCCATCTGGGTCAGCTCCATAATCCGGGATAATCCCGGGATTTTTTGGGGGGGTGGGGGAGGGGCTGTGTCCCCCCCTGACCCCCCCCTGACCCCTCAAGGTCCCTCCTGAGCCCCCCCAAATTCATCCGGGACCCCCCAAAATTCTGGGATCGGCCCCAAAA